AGTTAAAAATGGCAAGCAAGGGAAGATATTCAGACAGGTATGTTCCCAAAGCCAAAGTTGAAAGATCCCATCTTCAGTCACATGCAGAGAGAGGAGACAATGTGGGGACAAGGATACAGACTCTCAAATCATACCCTCCATGACATACTTGCAACAATTTTGCACCCCCTAATCCTCTCCAAAGAGTGCCATCAACTGGGGACTGAGAGTTCAAATAAAGGGAAGATATTCAGACAGGTATGTTCCCAAAGCCAAAGTTGAAAGATCCCATCTTCAGTCACATGCAGAGAGAGGAGACAATGTGGGGACAAGGATACAGACTCTCAAATCATACCCTCCATGACATACTTGCAACAATTTTGCACCCCCTAATCCTCTCCAAAGAGTGCCATCAACTGGGGACTGAGAGTTCAAATACATGAGCCTATGGGGTCCTTCCTCATTCAAACCATTACATTTCCTGACATCATAATTCTAAGTGTGCATAATTCTACGTGTACTTATGGACTTAATTAGACTCCAAAATCATGAACAATCTCAACACTGTCCAATTTCCCAAAGACTTCTACGACATTCAAGGCAATCTCTTTACTGTAATTCCCTATGAAATCAAAAGAGACCAATTACATACTTCTAACACACAATGACACAGAATACAAGTTCCCATTCCAAAAGGGACGAATGGGGGCAAGGTGAGGAAAAACCGAAACCAAGGAAGACCAAAACAGCAGGGGAAACACACACACACAAAACCTATAGCACCATATTGGATGTTTAGTACTTTGGTTTCAAGGGGAGGTTAGTCCATTCCCCCACTGCAGGACACTTTGTCAGATGCATCATGGCCCTAGTATCACCACCATCATGCGGTTCCACCTGTACCCAAGACATAACTTTCAAAGCTTCACACAGTGGCCTTTCAGGGCCTCTAGTCCTGACAGGACCTTCTTTACGCAGGCACTCTCCTGCTACTCGCTGCCATGCTTCAGCAGCTCTGACTGAAGTAAAAAAATCTCGACCACCTCACTTTTGTACCTTTTATGACTCCAAAACCAGCATCTACACTCATTTGTTTGTTTTTTATCTTCATCATTCTCACTGGCTCAAGATGAAATCTCAAAGTAGTTTTATTTTCCATTCCCCTGAGAGTTTGGAATTCTGTACATTTTTAAAGAAATTCATATGTTAGTAGTATCTTTGCATTATTTCCATCCCCTCCTGTCCACCAGCAACTCTTACATGTCCCCCCATTCCCTCTCAATTTCTTGTCCTCTTTAAATATTATTGTTACAGATATATACATCTATATATATTTCACTAAGTCCATTTATTGATGTTCATATGTACCTGTGTTTAGGACTGCCCACTTGGTATTAAGTACCCTCTCAGGGAGCTAGTCCCTAGAGAAAGTTGATTCTTCTTCCTTCAACATCCATTAATGTTCTGTAGTTCAACTTTTGAAAGTTCCCTCTTTAGTTCCACAACCCATTTTTTAACTGGGTTCTTCATATTCTTAATATTTTTTGTGTTCCTTGTACATTCCAGATACTAACCTTCTGTCAGACAGATATGCAGTAAAGATTTTTTTTCCCATTCTCTAGGATGCCCGTATACTAAAAAGATAGTGGCTTTTGCTGGACTAAAGCTTTCTAGATTCATGAGGTCCCAACTATCACCTGTTACTTATATAAAACCTGACGAACATACCAAGAAAGAAATCAAAGAAACACCACCATTACATTGGCATTAAAAAAAAAAATCATGGAAGAAAATCAAGCCAAGGAAGTGAAGGAAAGTCTTGTGTAATAAAATCTTTAAGACACTGAAGAAAAAATTTAAAATGGATACCAAAAGATTGAAAGACCACTCATGCTCATGAATTTGTAGGATTAATAGTTCAGAGATGGCCACCCACCCTACCAAAGCAACCTACAAATTCAATGAAACACCTATCAAACTCCCAACACAATTATTCACAAAAATGTAAAGTTCACAATGAACCACAAAGGACCCAGGATTGCCAGAATAATCAAAAACATTAAAAAATGCTTCCAGTATCTTTATCCCTCATTTCAATTTATACAACAGAGCTATTTTTAAAAATATTTAATTTATTTTTTTTATTTTATGTGTATGAGTGTATTGCCTGCATGTATGTGAGCACACCTGTGTCATGCAATGCCACAGAGGTCAGAAGAGGGCTTCAGATTCCTCTGGAAGTAGAATTATGATGGTTCATAGCTGCCAGGTGGGTGCTGGGAATCAAACCCTGGTCCTCTTGAAGAGTAGTCAGTGCTCTTAACTGCTGAGCCATCTCTCCAGCCCCAACAGAGCTATTTTAATAAATACAGCATAGTACCAGCATAAAAAGAGAGAGATGTATCTGTGGAACAAAAATGATGACTGGATCGTTAAGTCCATGCACATATAAGCACATGATTTTTGACAAAGCGGCCAAAAATAAACATTGGAAAAACAACAGCACCTACACCGAATAGGGCTGTTCCAAGTTGGAGCTACATGTAGAAGAAAACTATATCCTTATCTCTCAACCTGACAAAAACTCAACTGCAGATGGACCAAGGAATTCAAAGTAAAACGTGAATTCTTGAATCTAAAAGAAGAGAAAGTAGGGATATACCTGACCTTATTGCTGAGGAGGGGACTTTCTGAAAAGAACCCAATAGCGAAGACACTAAAATCTCACACATATACAGGGAAGACCTAACTGGAAGTTCTCAGACAGAAAAGGGCAGGAAGTCTGCCCTACTCAACCCACAGAGCTAGCATTACCTTGAAACAAAAACTTGATTAGGAAAGAGAAACTTCAACAGAAACTGCACTTTGTTCCTTTGAGGAACAAAGTTGCATAATTCCCAAAGAAATATTTGGGGATGATTTCAATAAAATGTTAAGAGGATCACATATCATTACCAAACAACTTTACTTCCAGGAATGCAAAGTGGACCAACAGATACAAAAGAAGAAATGGAACAGAGAATACGAATAGAGATAAGGACAGAAATGACAGGATCGGCCTAGAAAATGCAAAATGCATTGGTAAAGATCAAACATCACTTCCCGTAAACATGCTGAAGAAATCTGCAAAATGAAAAAATGACAAACCGAAAATGAAGAGACATGTATGAGAAATGAAGGAGAACAATGTAATTAAGTCAAAAACCGCATTCCCTCTAAAACCTGGAATGAGTCAGGGTGCTCACCCTCTCTACCACTGTTCAGTGGGGTACTTATTGTTTTAGAGCAGCAAGATACTATGGAATGAAATGGATTAGACTAGGAAAGGAAGAAATTTTTTAAAAAATCTCTATTTGAGTGACATGAGGCTATACTTAAAAAGACCCTGAAGACCCATGAACATGTTTTAGATGTGATGAATGTGTTTTATCACTATTGCTGGACAGAAAATCAATACAGGCATAAAGATGATTAATATGCTTATTACAAAATGCACAAAAATTCAATGAAAAGCATACGTTGAGAAAATGTAGTTAAGGAAAAACACATAGGAAAAAATCAGCTATTATCTTGCATTTGGAAGAAATTTGACATGGGAAATGTGGAAATTTTAAATGAATAATTAAATGAAATGCTATTTGTATACTAGTAATTTCCACATAATTCATGAGTACAAAAAGTCATTTAACATTGACAACAGGACAAAGCATGATGAAATTCCTATAAATTAAATAATGAGAATCTCTTTCTAGAGAAACAGACCATGACAAAACCATTTCCACCTGTTTACCCTTCTTTACTTAGATTTTCTCACCTGGCCCCTCCTTCATCTACTCACACCTACCTGGTTGGCTACAGTCTTCCCTCTCTTCACATTCCAGAGCTCTTTGCTTTGCTCCAGACAGGAGACCAGAACAGGCTTACACCTAGCAAGACCTGCGTATGAGAAAGAGGCACATGTGCTTGCTGGATTCTTTGATTCTTTTTTATTCTCTTTTATTTTATTTTTTTTCTTTTCTTTTGCTGTTTTTGAGATGGGGTCTCTCTGTAGCCACAGCTAGCTTGGAACTGCCTATGTATTACCACCTGGCCTCGAACTCACAGAGATCCGGCCTGCCTCTGCCTCCCAAGTGCTGGTATTAAAGGTTTGCACCACCTCAACCAGCCTTGCTGGATTCTTTAGAAAGTACTGGATTTCTAACACAGCACTGTGGTCAACTGAAAATATAGAGAAGAAGAGATGGCTCTCCAAGTAATTTTCCAATTTTTATTTTCTGATACACTCATTAAAACACACAGGAACTTTTTCAGTTTCTATATGCTGAGATCTGTTGCTGAATCAAATGGCAGCTATGGAAACGGAACTTTAATATTCTGGCTACAGTATCATGTACTAATGGGTGACTGAAATTAAACCAAAAATAATGAAGATGTATCCAAACAAGTAGATACAGAAAGAAAAGAAAAAACATAAACATGCTCTTCATGAGGCTCAGACATCCCAATACATTACTTTTTAAAGAATCCAAGACTTATTCAACAAAACAAATGTGTACAAAGTAGTCTGTTCCAGTCAAAGGATGCAGATTAAAAAATTCTGTAAGAAAAATGTCCTCACCTACAGACACCAGATTGCTGCAGTTCTCCAACATCACCTCCTTGTACAGAGGAGCAGAGTCTAGGTATTTCCACTCCTTCTGGGAGAAGTCAAAGGACACATCCTTGAATGTCAATGGATCCTAAAATGGAAAATGACAATTTAACCATGTGCCTTTGAACAGGGTACAGGACCCAAGGAAATGAAGAGATAATTAGTAAACAAGTTCTGAAGTAGATAAGCAATCTGAAGTATTCAAAAGATATCTTTTTAAAAAAAAAATTTCATTGAGCTTTTGTACATTTCATACAACAGTTCTTAATCAAATTAAGACTCTTCTCCCCCTTTAATGCCCCCTTCCAGTCTCATGTATTCTGCCATACATATTAAGTCCCATCTACTCAAGCATTTTACCTAGATGTCCTTCAATGCAAGTTCATGCACTGGAATCCATTTAGCCTATCTAGAGAGCTTAAGGAACGTCTATTCTCCCTCAGTTCTCAGGCTAGAGCTGGACTGCTGCCCATTTCTCTTGCACCACTCCGGGTCCTTGTTTGACTGAGCTGGCATGAGACTTGTGCTCAATGCCACCACTGCTACAAGTTCACAGGAGCAAGCTTCCAATGGTTTGAAAACTTCTGTTTCCCTATGGTCATGGACCAGCCTGGCTCTTAGAATTCTTCTGCACCCTCTTCCACAATGGTCCCTGAGCAGGGGCTGGGTGAATTTTAATATAGGAGTCCTATCTGAGGACACACTCTCTGCAGTCTCTTATTCTCTAAAACTTAGCCAGTTGTGGCCTTCTGTGTGCATTGCACTCTGTTCTATAAAGAAGTTTGCTGGTGAGATTTGAAGGATGCACTAGTACTCTCTCCACCTCCTGTTCCACTATGTTCTGGGAGCCTTAGGTGTAGAGGTTCCATTGTAGATGTCACCTTGGGGTGGAGATCTCTTTGATGTACATGCTCTGTGTGTGACCAGTTATGAAAGTCTGTAGAGGCCTCCATTTGTTTCATAAAGATGAGTGTTGTACTATATACTTGTCTGTAAATATAAGGATCCATATTTATGATACAGTAAGAAATTTGTCTAGAGATACGACAGAGATATGGCTTCCTCTAGGATCTATGACTTCTTCATCCATGTATATTTGGCAATAATTGCAGTGCCACCCATGAGTTCATTCCCATTGCAAGGGCTTTAGGTTCAATTAGAGAGCTGTTGATTATCCCCAGATAAAAGTGCCACTACTGCACCAATAGAGGGAGTTTGCTGTGCCAAGTGTCATGGTTATTCAGCTGGACAGCTGGTGCAGCTGTTAAATGCTCAGACTCACAATTATTAAAGACAAAAGGATATTTCTTAATATAGTAACTCTCTATAGTCAACTAGTTAAATCTGTGCAAAAAAAATAGCATCAAGACCCTCCAAACATTTGTGCAGATTATGATTTTAGGGAGTACAGCACATAAAGTAAGCCCTCAACACAGGAATACCATTCCCTCCTATATTTGTAGCATACGAAATCAGCTGTATATGTTTATCCACTGTAAATTCACATGGAGCTGTAAGTCTGCTTCATAAATTTGAATGTTTATCACCATGCATTGTATTCCTAGCTAGGACATAGATTTTTAATTTACCACAACCTGTGTCTGGTCTGATTTAACCCTCTCCTTACAGGCTTGGTAGTGAGGCCAGTGCCCCAGGTCCAAAACACACATTCTCCAGCAGCACAGAGCAGAACATGGCAGAAGAATAAAGGAGGAACTTAACCGAAGAGCACCATGGACTGTGTGTGCTCTCCCTCAACAGCAAGAGCAGAAACAAAATCTTGTGATGTGTGTCCTAGAATCTGCATGTAATAAAGATATCATAGAAACATTAGAGCCTAAATACTCTAACATTGTGTTGGATAATCTCAATCTCTCTCTCTCTCTCTCTCTCTCTTTCTCTGTTTCCTTTTTTGGTATTTTTGAGACAGGGTCTTCCTGTAGCCCCAGCTGGCCTGGAACTCACTATGTAGACTAGGCAAGCCTCGAACTCATAAATCCACCTGGCTCTACCTCCCAAGTGCTGAGAATAAAGAGGTGCACAACCATGAACAGCCTAGTATATTCTCTTTTTGATTTTCTTTTTCTGGCCTAAAATATGTCTGAAAGGAAATCACTGGCCAACATATGCACCAAAAAGAGGGTGTGGAGAACAGGGATCAGCACTGCAGAGAATAATGGAAACATGGAGACAAGATCCACTGACTGAACAATGTTCATGTTGTGTATACAGCGGTTACAAAATCAGACAATTACATATGCGTAACATTTGATAAACAGAACTCTTTTCTGAAGTACAAAGAACCAGTCATAGAGGCAGTGCTGTGGCTGAGTGTGAAGTAGAAATGTAACAGAGAGGAAGAGGCCTGCTTCAGAAGCTCCACCTGGAGAACTCAGCATTTAGCAAACAAATGAGAACGGTTTCTTTCTCCAAAGAAAGGAAGAAAACTATCAGTGATGAAAGGCGAGATTCTGCATTAAATGTCATGATTTGTGTGCTTCATTCTGTAAATTCCCAGAAAACTTATTCCTAACCAATTTAGAACGACATTGTGAAAGTCTGAGATTTGGTGGAAAGCAGCTCAGCCAAGGGAATCAACTCCCAGCAGACAAACGAATACAGGTGTCAACAAACCCAGCAGCACATTGCATCAGGCCTGTGATGTGGGTGGGATTAAAATCATAAGCAAACTAATACATATCTGAATAAAATAAAACAAAAATATCAGTTTTACGTGCAGTTAAAACAACATACAGTGGCATATCCATCCTCCTTAAATTGAAGACTGGCGTGTTTCAGTTTTCACTTTCCTCATCAGAAACAATTTTGAGATGGTTGGCCATGCATTTACTGGATTACTCTGGAAAAAATAAGCATTGGAAGACAGAATGGGGAGATGGCTATGCTACATAGGTGATACAGATGTAAAGAATTCATTTGGTCCAGGTATGGTGGCACATGCTTTTAATCTCAGAACTCCAGAGGCAGAGGCATGCTGATCTGAGATCCAAGCCAGCCTGGTCTACACAGCTAGTATGTGGACCAGAAAAGGTTACAAGTTCACAATACCAAATATTTTGAGAAAGAAAGAGTATGAGGTTCACGTGCATGAATGTACTTACCTGAAAAGAAGCCATCTGTCTCCTCCTTCTGTGAGTTTCCTTTCCAGGAATCTTACATAAACATTCCTCTCTCCGTTTTGAGAAACTTCCTTCCAGTTCACTGAAAATCCACATCACCTGCCAACATAACAAGAAGAAGCACCTCAGAAAACAAAACAGGCCATTCTCACTGTCTTCCGTCACAGGAGACGTGCAAGAAGAAAGAGCTCCACACCGAGACCCCGATAGAAGTTTCTGCTTTCCTGCCTTCCAGCAACCTGCCCTGCCAACAAGATCACAATTCCTACTACATTCGTGGGAACGCAGCTGCCTCACCTCCTAACCTAAACTAGGCAGAGTAACAGGGGTTTTATCCTTTGGAATAGGGGCTAAACTAAGCTCTCCCTCAGAAGCACTGGCAGCTGACCCCCAGCCTGTCTTCTGCCTGCGACTGTTCGTTGAAACAGCACTGATGCTTCTACTTAGCTTCATAGACAGAATCTGTGGGGGAGGCACAAGCCTTTTCTGTAAAGGCTGAAGTTCAGAAGTAGTTCATTGTGAGTTTTAAAAGTCTATTCTTGGAGCTGGGGAGATGGCTCAGAGTTCAAGAATACTGGCTGCTCTTGGAGAGAACCCAGGTTGAGTTTGCAGCACACACATGGTGCTAACAATCGCGCTTAACACCTGTTCCCGGGGTTCCCACACTGTCTTCCAGCCTCCACAGACATTGCTCATAGGGATGCACCTACATACATGCAAATAAAACACTATTACTCATAAAATAAAAGTAAATAAATAACGTTTAATAAAAATGAAATCTTTATTATCTGAGGACACCATATTTTACATATTTATGACATATCCTTGATATTTTGTAATACATATACACTGGATATTGATCTGGTCAGTCATTAATATAGGCACATGTAAAATTTTATCTTTTCCTATAGGGAGTATCTCCAAACTGATCTTTTCTAACAATGCTAAGATAAAATTCAAGTTGGAGAGTTTTATTTACCTTGTTGTGGCATAGAACAGTAGAACTTAGTCAAGCCACGAACCACGACACTGCTTCTGTTATTTACCCACATTCTTCCCATTCACTGCAAACTGCTATTTTACCTTCAACATCTATCATCTGTTTTTTCTTTTAACGCACTTCTCGTAGTGCTTGCATTTCAATTTCCTTCACCAGACAGCGTCCACCAGATCAATCCTGTTCTCAAGTATGAGAAGGCTCCACTCTTTTCTACGATGGAATTGTAGTGTGTTCTTTAGAAATATCACATTTCAATAAATCTTTCATTCGTTACTGGGCATGATAAGTAGATTCCCTATTCTTCAAACAGTGCTGCCATAAATAGGGAGTACACATTATCGCTATGCCATACTGAATCCATTTCTGTTGTATATGTCCAGGATCTGGTGGTAGGAGCCACGCTAGCGAGAGAACACCTGTGGCTTGCTTTCGGTATCTGTTTTCTCTCACTTAGTACAGCCATTTCTAGTGCCATCCAATGACCTGCAAATTACTTGATTTCCTTTTCCTTTAACACTGAGTAGAACTCCATTGTGTAAATGTAGCAAATTTACAAGATCCACTCAGAGACTGAAGGGACATTTAGGTTGTCAACTGAATTTCAAAGAGAACACAAGAGAAACTTTCTTTTTTTAACTCTGGTTTCTCATGTACTTCACTGAGACATTAAATGTTTCTTCTGATGACTTGGGAGGACTTTGGCTACAACTAAGATTCACATTCTTGAAATTTCATGGGCAATATTGAAGGATCAGTTACTTTATAATAATTGGGCTTATAAGGCAGTTTTCAGTCTTGAAACTACCAAGTGACATTTCCTCCAGTATATACATTTTAATATGAGAATTCACAGTGTTAATTGTGTTAATTTAATAGTCAATTTCAAAAATGTATGTAGAGAACAAAATATCACACCACACCTCCTAAATACATATAGTTCTTTGTCAAAAATTAATGTTAAGGGGCTGGAAAGATTGCTCAGAGGTTAAAAGCACTGGCTGCTCATGCAGTGGACCTGGCTTTGATTCCCAGTACCCACATAGCAGCTAACAGCTATCTGTAATTCCAGTTTCAGGGGATCTAATTCCTTCTTCTGATCTCAGTGGGCATTATCAGACACGGGTGTACTCACATGAATGCAGGCAATACACTCTTACACATAAAATAAAAATGATAATAAAACATTTCTTCCAAAAGGTAATACTAAAAAGTGGAATCAGATAATATTATATATTAATTTATGGACGTCTGACTCCATGTCTTACAAATGTAATTTATAATAATTGATGGTAATTTGTTTGCACACTAACAAAGTATGCAGCAGTGTCTCCCTCAGTTCCACCTGCCTTTTGACTGGGTTTCAGAACATCACCATCACCCCTAGGACCCAGGTGATCGCATCTTAATGCACAGGACACCAAGTGCTCTAGCACTTTTGTATGCCTATGCTGGGTGGTTCATGATTTGAGTCTTTAGAAAGTACTTGGATTTCTAACACAGTAGTTCACTCAATAGATAGAGAACCAGGAATTCTACCAGTGACTCTCCAATTGGAATATTCCGTCAGAACACTGATATTTACAGAGCTTCTTCATGTTGTATAACTATTGTTCCACCTTTAATTATAGCTCAGCCCAAATTCCAGGTTGGAAATGGAACTTTATGATTGGGAAACAATATTATATGCTATAAAGTTTCTGAATTTATCATGGAACAAAAATGAAAGAAGCATAACCCCTCCCAAAAGACAGACAAACATGATAACAGACAAAATTACATTATAGTGTTCCTTTCTCCTCTGAGAATTTCACTTTATGAGATGTGAGACTCACTCACACAAAGTTAACATGCACACATAGTAGTTCCTCAAGGAACGCTGAGTGTAAGAAATTCTGTAAGAAAAATATTCTCACCAAGAAAAATGAGAGAGCTGTAATTCTCCACCGTCAAGTCTCTGTACAAAGTCCTCTGAGCAAGATCCAGGCATTCCCTGTCCTTCTGTGAGAAGTCTACAGCCACATCACCGAATGTCAACACACCCTGAAATGAAGAATAACAGTTTGACCACGTGTCTACAGGCAGATTGCTTTTCTTGAATCAAGGAGACCAAAGAGATTGAGAGGCATTTTTCTGATGTAGGGAGGATCATAGCATTCTGAAGATGTTTTTGGACATTGTCAAATTCTCTAATGCCTTTTCTAACTGTGGAAATAGGATGGCAGGACAGCCTACTACTCAGCATGCATACTATGCTTGCTTTTTTTTTTTTTTTTTTTTTTTTCCCTTGGT